TTTCTCAATTATCCAAGCTTAACATCTTACGGTCACTTTTTATTCTTCTCTTTCTTTCCCAATATACAATTAATGGTTTATTTCTGTCCAATGTACTTCACCAACACTTCAACTGCATTGCTACTACCCTAGTTCAGGTCTTCATTCTTTAACAAAAACTCTCACAACACTTCTTCATTAATCCTATGGTTTCTTTCCCAATTCAATTCATTTTCTGAACTATTAGATAATATAACCTATAACCTATAATTCAACTCTGATTATGATATTTCAGGGACCAAAAAACTTCAATCTCATAACTTACTAACCCAATCCAGAATTCTCTAGCCTAACATTAAAATCCTTCCATGTTGTAGGCCAAACCTAATTTTCCATCTTTATATTTTATCATCTCACTATTCTTCTTTATAAATGCTCATTTTTTTTTTTTCTGTACCTGCTCTGTCTATCTGAACTGGTAAATACTGGGTGCTCAACAAAAGCTGATTCCTTTCCACATGAGCTTGCTATATTTATACTCTCCTTCCTCAAGCCATTTCAGTTTACAGGAAAACATCCTCTCATTCTGTTAAATATATATTTGATCTTCATATGGGAAATTAGAATGTTCATAGAAAAGGCAGTAAAATGTGGGAAATAGACAAGTATTAAGGGAAAGAAAGCAGTGTGATTGAGCTCCAATGTCAAAAGAAAAAAGCAGCAAGCAGGACGCCATAAAAGTTTCAGAATATTTGAAAAAGTCATAATTATTATACCTGGGACCATGGGTGCTAAGAGCCTGTAAGGCTCTTCTAGGTGATCCACTGGCCTAATGGAATTTATAGTCCAATGAAGAAGATGAATATATACCGCCTTAAATATAATACAAGATGGTAAAAGTCATGCTCCAACCAAGGTTCAAAATGCGCCTCAGAAGCCCTAGGAAATTCCAAATACTGTGAAAAAAGGAAGACTTCACGACCATCTGAAAGAGGCCTTAAGGACTTCAACCTGTTCTCAGAAAAGAGTTCCAGGAAACAGGAGCAGCCTCAAAGAAAGACAGAGGTAGAAAATGCTAGACGTATGAGAAATAGGAAAATAACTAATGAATTCTTGGTCCCTAAACTAGTACAATTTTAAATCTCTCTATCGCTTATATAGTTTTAATGAACTTATCCTAAAGAGCTATTTGAGCTCAGCATCTTATTCAGTGAATTCCTGAAAATACACAGATGATTATCTACAGAATGAATTAGTTATCAGAGAAAATTTTCACAACTTATTTGGATCCCAAGCATTATAATTCCCAAATGTATGTACTCAACTTTCTTTTCCATAGGCTTCCTTGTCAGCATTCCTGTAGCAATAGGAACTGCTTCAACAACCTAGAATCCCACTGAGGGTGTCATACACTTCTATATGCACACTGCCATCAAGAGCAAATTATACATTTTAAGGACTAATAACCTCATAAGACAATATGTAAAAAATGCAAAATCAAACCATCTAAATGGATACACTACATACTCCAGATAACTCTAGAATTAGAAGAGACCTGAGAGAAAAATCTAGATCAACCATGTAACCTAAACTGTGTCTATTAGGTTGCTCCTCTCAGGAATTTAGGATCAAGACTCAATAATTTAGTCTCCTCTTATAAAAAGACACAAAAATACTCAGAAGTTGCTGAGTAGCCACGTTCAACCATGAAAAGGAAAAAAAAAAAGGTCAGCAAAAAGAGAACAGTGAATCAAAGAAAGGCAAATACTAGAGTGAGGGAATGTTCCAGGTTTTCCGTCCCTGATCTCAGGCCCTAATAAGGTCTGTCTGCATTTGGCTTCCAATGGTTTTCCAACAAATTCCTTTCTTCCCTTTTGCTAAAACTACTTCAAGTTCATTTCTGTTACTTGCAACAGAAGCTTAAATGAGGCAATAACCAAAATCTTCCATAAAGTCAACTGGTTGATTAATAACTGATCTATGTTTTCTATACTTTTTTCTCTTTATTTGCATTTCCTTAAAAGCCATAAATATGACTTCAATATAATATAGAGACAAATATATAAACGAGGATCAGGGATTATGCTGAGCATTTTAAAAGAAACATTCACCATGCCCAGGAAAGAGAAAATATAGAACATTCAAGGTAAAGCCTTGAGATATCTGTGCAGGAATAAGAAATGCCAAGTAATAACAGGCAAATTAAATAACTGATTACCCTCCTACACAAATCCAATTTAATTCTGATAAATCATATAGGTAGATCCAATTCAGTCTTCTCTGACGTAGGATCAAAAGGTGATAACCCAATATAGGGTGTCTCATCTGGAAACTAAGCACAACCTTACCAAACACAGGAAGGTTTTGAGTGCTCTCTGGTGATATCCCTAACCCTGACCCAAATACCAAAACTGAATATCAAATTGTCTTAGAGCCTGAGCTTAACCATTCCCGAAAGTAGTTAGGCATTTACCCTATGGTATAACCAGCACTTTCTGCAATTAAATGAGGGGACGAAAGTAACAGAAGCTTAACATTATGGAACTCTGCCCAGGTATGTGCCGGGTGTCACAATGATCCTGAGGCAGATCCAAGCTCCCCTAAGCTGGATCCACACCCATCAGATCTGACTACAGGTAGACCAGTTTAACATGTATAGCGAGTCAGAGGTTGACAACCAAAAGTTTGAACAGATATAGTGGGTGGCTACAGGGTTATATAAACAAAAACAAAACTATAGGATCTTGGAGTTAAAAGGGACATGGAAACTATATCCAGCTTCCTAATTTTACAAAGAAAGAAGCTAAACATAGGAACCAAATTCATCAACCAAATCCCTACCATAATAAATTATACAGGTACAGATAAAATCAAAGGGATTGTGACCAGACTATGATAGAACCAAAAAGAACCATTTCCTAAAGGTGCTCTTTGATGGTTTTAAATCTATTTTTAATTAATAAATGGCAAATGTATTAGAATATCTGAATAATCCTACTGTTGGGATATTTTTTGGGATATTCTTATTACTTCACTTGAGCAAAACAGGATTTCTGACTTAATGGGTTAACATTTTAGTTAAAACATTGGAACAAGAGGACAAATTAAGATAGAAAGCAAAAAAAAACAACAACATTGGAACAAGCACCTTTAAAAGCATAAAACAGTATGTTGATTCAAAATCTAAATGACGTTGTATGCTGCAACCTTGGCAGACAGGCAGTTAAAGGCACTTTAATAGCAAAGAGCTATTTATTTTAATGTAAAAAAAAGTCCAGATATTCACGTAGGACTCTCATAAAAGTCACCAGAAATTAGACTGATGTATCAGCTGGGACCAAAATTAAAAGAATACATGTTTAAATGATCCAAATATAAACTTGGTGTTCAAAATTACTGGCAAGGAGCCACCGTACAGTGGATTTTGGTCTTCAAGGGCTGTTTCACCACAAATATTAGGTAAGTCAACATATCACTGAGGCAAAAAAAAGAAAGAAAAAGCATACATTTATTTCCTGACAACACAATCCATTCTTTATCATCCTGCACAGTATTTTTTAGAAATCCATTGATAAAATGTGAAGTTAGAACCTGTTGTGTTTCCAAGAAGTACCAGGAAAGTTACTTCTAAAATATTAATCTATAAAAAGTAGTTGTTTTTGAAAAACAATATTATTCAGAAACAAACATGAAACTGATATCATTGCTTAAATTACTATTTATAAACTGAACATTTGATAAAGTTAAATATTATAAATATCTGCCATTAATCAGAACTGACAATTGTATAAATTATATGACCCCTGAAGATTTTTTATAAACAAAACTATCTTTTAAAATCATTTTTGCCACCAATGCTGATATGAAGAGATAAACTAGAGGGTACTGAATATAATCTACGTTTAACAGAGTCAGCTTTCAACTAATTCATAAGCCCTAGTTAGCTATATCTTATTTTGACAGTTTAATTTATTGGTGGCAAAAACAAAAGCAAGCTAAAATCTCCTAAATAATTTCAGCTCTCAGGAATTATAATTTCTGTTCTTCATTCCAGATAACATTAACAACCAACTTTTGATGACTACTCATCATCAATTGTAAAAGTTCATGCAATTTCACATTTACTTTAAACCCTACATTTGCACCTTTAAATAACTGCTTTTTTATAATAATACCCATACCAAAAAAAAAAAATCCTCTCTTAATATTTGCCACATGATTCCAAGAAAACTGTCTTTAAAAATCTCACTGTTACGACTTCGGAATTAGCGTTTACAGCCCTAAACCAAATTTAGCAAGAACAGCACTTTTCATTCATCTACTTTGACTTGAAACAGTCCGGTGTAAAACTTAAAAAACAGACTTTAGATGCTTTCCTCCGCTCAGAAACAAAACCACAAAGCCGGTACCTGGCGAAGTCGGGGTTCTGTTCGATCCCGGCCTGTGCAATTGCAGCCGGGCCCGCGGAGCCTGGCCGGGCGGTGCGCGCGGCGCGGAGGGCGGGCCGGGGAGCGCCTGGGCTAGGTCCTCCGCCGCCGCCCGCCGCCACGCCGCGCCCGCGCCGCGCCGCGTCCTCACGGCCGCAGCGGGCGGGCGGGCCTGGCCGGCGGGTCCCACACCCGGGCCCTTATCCGCGGCAACCCGCGGGCCGGCTGGCGCCGGCGGGGGGCTCCGGGCCGCCGCGCGCCCTCCCTGCCTGTCGCGGCGGCCCCGCCAGGCCGCTCCCTCGGGGGCCCCGCCGGCCGGGAGGCTCCGCGGCTCAGGTTCGCCCCGGGGACGGGATAAGGTGTCAGAGCGGCGGCCAGACGCCTCCGTCGGCGGCGGCGGGGGGCGGCCCTGACCTGCTTCCACTCGGCCCCTCGGCGCCCGCGCGGCGCGCAGCGTCCCGCTCCGCTTCCCGGCGGAAGGCGAAGTCCCGCGGGGCCGGCGGCGCGTCTCCGGGGGCCCGGGGCTCGGGTCACGCCCTAACTTGGCAGGGCCGGGGGCCGGCGCCAGGCGAGCGGAGCTGCGCCCCAACTTACCGGACTGCGCGGCGCCCCGAGCGGCGGCCGCGGCCAGGCAGAGGCAGAGGCAGAGCGAGAGGGGGCGCGGGCGCGTCCGCCGCGGGCTCATGGACAGGCCGGGGCCGCCGCCGCTGTCCGAGCCTCCCTCCCTCCGGCTCCGGGCGACGGCCGGGGCGGCGGGAGGCATGACGGGAAATTCCTGGGCACGGGCAGCGGAGTCCAAATATGAGCATAGGAGACGAGCGAGGGAGGACCGCGGAGCGCGCCGGTCGCGGTTGGGGCCCGCTGCCCGGGCCTCGGCGGCCGCCAATTCCCTCCTCCTCCTCCGCTGTCCCTCCTCCTCCTCCCGCACGGCCTCCCCGGGGCCGCCGGTCGGAGCGGCCGAGCGAGCGCGGCCGGGACACGGACTCCCGCGGCCAGGGGCATCCCTTTGCAACGGGGGCATCCCTTTGCCCACTTCGCAGGCTCCACCTGAGACCCCTGAGGGGGTGGGAGACGGAGAAGCCACCGCGAACACACCGGACGGCGAGCCAGGGACCCGTGGGAAGACGAGCCGGGGGCTCTGAGCGTTGGTCATGAGGGGATGCAAGTTCTGGCAAATACTTCTGTAAGTGTAGGACGGTGGGGCAGGAGCAGCGCTGCCAGTTGCGCGGGTGGGCCATCCCGCACAGACCGAGCAGCCTTACAAGCCATAAAACCACCCGCCTGCATTCCAGGTGAGTGGGTCCTCTCCCCCAGAGGGGCGTGTGTGCTTTCTTGGCCAAAATTGCAGTGGGGCTCTTCCCCAACTTGCATTTGAACACCATATATGGAGTCAAGGCAGGCCGATGGAACAATAGTTTTTCACACCAGCTAAATGCTGAAGTTTACACTGGTCTTTCTCTCCACCTCCAACCTCTAGTCAACTTCCCCACTCGTGCCCCGTCCCCCGCCCCCACGCTTGTTTTGTATTTATTGTACCTTGTCTAAAGTGCAATGTTGAAATTTATTCCAAAGGTGCTACCCCTGATGAGCAAAATATCATCAGCCCCAGATGTTTAATTGCAGGCCCAAGCCTGTAGTTGCCTGACTTTTCTTTGGCACTGACAACTCCTTAGGTAATCAAGTCCAAATGACCCTTAGCTTTTCGAGACAACATAATTGTGTCTTAATTGCTATAATATATTTATTTCCTCAAACTAATGGGACAGGACCTGGAGATGTGGGATGTTATGTAATTACTTACGAACATTTTAAGATGCTACAGAAATGATTTATTGATGCAAAATACTGAAGGGGTAAATGTCAAACAGATTTAGAATGTATTTTTCTAACATGAACTAAAGTGATGGTAATTTGTACATCACACTGTTTGTTTGAAAATGCTCTATTTGAAAATCAGAAACCTTATTTCAAAACAAATTCAAGTGTGGCAAAATATTAAGGCCCATGAGCCAAAAATCAGTCCATTGCAAGTAGCTACGCTCAAAGCATCTGGTATCGGAAAACAGCACATCCCATGAATTACACCTGGAAAATGGGCAGATTTCACTCTTCTGCACTGGCAATGATAAATGGGACTAAGGGTAGATGACCTGAGTAAACTAATGGTAAACAAATTTTAATGCAGTGAGGGATTTAAATGACAAATAATAGGTACCTAGAACCTAGGTAGTTGGAAGGAAAATACTCAGGAAACTGTTCAGTATAGTATTTCCTCTTTTTTTAATATATTTAACCTTGTATTACATAAGCATCTGTTTTTCTTACTTCCCCCACAACACCCAGCAAAGTTCTTTGCCCATAGTCCAAATGTTTGTTTAAAAACAAAAATAAAATAAGCACAACCATTTGTAGACCAGAATGTAGGAGCTCCCTAAGTGTAGAGAAAAGCATGTCTCAAAGGATTGTAGTATTAATAATAATGGTTATATTTAAAATATTTTAGTTGAATGATCTTAAGTACAAAAAATGTAAAACTATGACGAATACAATATCATTACAACGTAACTCATTTTAATATAAATGGAGAGTTGATTGCATCAACTTTGATGACTTCACTATCAGCAACACCAATAGCTATTCTAAAGGCTTGAATAAGTATGCTGAGCAGGGAAGAAAATAATTCAAGTTACTGAGCATATAGTAAGTGCTAGACACTGTGCTAAATGTTCCAGACCTGGTATTTCATTTAATCCTCACAAATATCTCTGAGTTTATTACTCATATCCCTATTTTACAGCTAAGGAAACTGAGGCATAGATAAGTAATATTTTGCTACCAGGAAGGGATGAAATAGTATTAGAATTAAAACCTCATTCCCAAGTGCATTTGTACTTTTTAGCATACAAATCTGTCTTATTATCTCTAGATAAAAAAAAAAAAAAAAGGAGTGGCATTCAACAACTGTATTCATTGAGCTCTTGCAGTTTTCAGTAACTGGTCTGCACTCATGTTACCTGCAGAAGTAGAGGTAAAGAATACATGTGGAAATAAGACCAGAGGCTTAACCAGCTTGTCACGTCATCCTTTGTGGGCATGGAGGGTGGGGTCTGTGCCTTTCATAGCTGGGGGAACAGGAAAGGTACCACCCTCTGACCACATTCCTACGAGTTTTGTAGTTTAACCACTGATATTTTCATCAGATATTTCACAATACTTTCCCTAATGTCTTTTTTATTATAGTCTTAATAACAATCATGTTAACATATTACTTGAAACATTGTTTGTTTGTTTGTTTTTTTACTTTAAGGCAAAGGAGCCTGCAGAGGTAACTGCTTCCCCTGCTTCCTATACCATCCCTCCCCCAACCCAGTGGGGTATGCTAGTAAACATTTAACAGCCAGATCTGGTCCCTGGGAAGGGACCTGATCTGTAGCATTAAACAATTTATGTGGCATAAATACTGCCACCAACCAGAAGTCTCTGAAGGCAGAGTTGGGGAGAGATGCACACAGCCAGCTCTTGGGGGCATAGAGCCAGCTCTAGCACACCACAGCTCTAACTCCCCATGAAATGTCTTCAGAACACAGCAATGCATAATGCAGGTTGCACTACCACAGCTCTTTGTCTCTCTGCCTGTCTTTCCACTTCTGCTCTCACAACAAGTTGCCAACTTTCTCCATATATCTCACGATCTAATGCCTTGGGGAAGAAAGGGGGAATCTGATTCTATCACCAGTTTTGTATAAGTCTACCTCATAAGCCACCGAGAAGCCTATAGATTGGCCGTCTCCTAGTTCTTCATCTGTGGCTAAGAAGGAAAGGTCACATGCCACAGAACATGGCCACATATGCTAAAGAAACAGACTGTGTTGCTACGTTTTACAGGGCTGTGCTTTGCAGCCTCTTTCAGAAAGAGTATATTAGCATGATAGGCATCCAAGCTGTAATGTCTCTGACATGCTATTCTCAGCTTTTTAATAAAATCCTCTCAGCCACTGCACAAAGCCTTGGGAGAGCCCCCACTCCACATACCCCAAGGAACATTGTGGACGGATGCCAACAACTGCACACAGGAGACTGGGCACATTAGGACTAGATGCAGTTCAGAAGCCCCCAGCCAGGGAGGGTAACCCTAAGTTAGTACATAAATTTAATGAACACGTATCAAGTACCATTTTTCTAAACCAATGAATGCTTAATTGGAGAGCGAGAGTAATATCCCGTAGGGGAATGTAACAGACTCTCCAGAGGAAGATTTTTCAAACTACACTCAATCTAAACTCCCCAAATTCTGCTTCCCTATCCTAGGAATTAAAGTGTTAAATCACCGTCACCCCTGCTGAGAGCATGTGTTATACTGATGGAGCATGCCTCCTGCCTCAGTGTGCCGTGGTGGGAACAGAGTTGGGAAGAACTGTTCTCAGCAACATGAAACACTAAGTCATTACTGATTGGCTAGGGAGACACTTGAATTTTTCTCTCAGATTCTGAAAAAGAATTTCCACTTCCATGACACCCTTCCAGGCCCTAGTCACCAAACGCATTAAAATAAGAACTCTACCGGGAAATCAGACAGAACTCCTAAACAGAGGGGGAAGGCTGAATTAAAGTGAGCATTATCCTTCTTTTTATGGTAAAATGCCTCTCAGATGATTTGACACAGTCGAAGCCATCCCTTTTGTTGATCAGTTTTGGAGAGATCTGAAGTATATATTCCCAAGATTGATGTGTTTCCCGATTCAACCAGCTTTGGCTTTGAATATGCTACAGCAAGTAATAAATATTTAACAGGATTTTCAATATGAAGAAGAATTAAGTAAATCCTCCGTAGACCAGCAAGGCTGCTTGGTTTTGGCCAGACTGTATAATGTAAAGGGATATATGCAAAATCAACTCCATATACACACGGAATGGGGTGGGGGCAAAAGTTAACTTTTTAAGTGGTACAGGAAAATTCTGATGGCGATTTGATTCTATTCTTTTTTCACTCAGTCTCTGTCCCTAAGTGTTTCTTATAATGAAAGCATCTCACCTCATGGTATATGTGCACAATGTCTAAAGGTGTGTATTTTTCACACAATTTGTCTCTAACAGCTCTTTTATCTGTTGTTCCTAAGTGACTACAATCTGGTCTGGTGGTAGAGGAAACTCTGGCTGTGTTGGGCTTCCTGGGAAAGGAATAGTACATTGTTTTCCAAAATGGTGCCTCCTTAAGGGATTTTTAGAGGTTTTACCTCTGCCTAACCTTCACCCTGTGAGCTGCTGTTAAAGCCCAATCTCCATATAAAATGCAGCTCCATTCAGGGGTCAGGGACTTGGGCTTTGGCATCAGACAGCTCTAAATTCAACTGTGGCCTCTACATTAAAGCTGTGGGACAACTGGCAAGTAATTTATCTAATCCTTGATATTCTTGTCTATAAAACTGAAAAATAAAGGTACCTACCACACATGGTGCTTAGCACTTAGCCTCATGCTCGGACATGCTAAGTCAATGTCAATATAGTACTAAATTAATTTTTATCATTGCTTACCAACTTTCAATCACTACAAAGTCACTGTTTGCCTTTGAGCCTTATCTGATATGACTTCCTCTGTCTTAAATGACTCATAGTTTCTCTTCACAGATTAAAGTCCTGCATTTGTATTCATAATCATCTCTCAAGGAAATTTTTTCAGGTTTAGTAATATTTTTAACACATATTTTGTCCAAAATTACTTTGTATATTTATACACAAAGTAACTAATAGTATTTTTTCAAATGTTTTTAAGTTTTAACTTCCTCAAAGTAATCACATTAGAAGGCTACACTTTTGAATCATTATTCAAACTATTTTTTGAAAACCTCTTTTAGAATTGCCATCAAAATATGAATATATGATGCAATTTTAAAAAACACCTTCAACAGAGGAAAACCATCTTTGCCTTTACTCATTCATTTATTCCAATATTTACTGAATGATTACCGTGTGCTAGATAGACAATAAACTAGATAAAGCAATAAAATATTTAGTGTTTAAAAGAGGGATAATTAGCAATAAGGAAAATGAAGCAGAGAAAAGGTTGCTAAAAGTGTTGGGGAAGTAACAGCAAAGACCTGAAAGAAGAAAGCAAGCCATGCAAAATCCGGGAGAAGAAGAAACAAGTGAAAAGGCCACGCCCAGGGTGGAGCAGGCCTCTGTGCAAGAGAAGCCTCCAGGAGGCCAGGTTAGGGAAAACAAGGTAAAAAGGGGTCGGGGTGGGGTGGTAGAGCAGGAGGAGATGTGTCTTGCAAGGCAATCATGTGGGGTCTTCTGGGTCATTAAAAGGACTTGGCTTCCATGGTGAGATGCAAAGCTATCCCAGAGTTTTAAGCAGAACAGTGACGTGATCTGATTTACATTTTAACAGTAACTGGCTGTTCTGATAAGGAGCGTAGGGACAGAAGGGGAGACAGAAGGAGGCTCTTGAAATAATCCAGGTGAGAGATGACGGTGATTTGGAGTAGGGAGTAAGGCAGTGGAGGTGGTGAAAAGTGATTAAATGGCAGATATATTTGGAAAGAGGGGCCCACTGGATTTGCTGACAGACCAACTGTGGGATGTGAAAGAAAAAAAAGTTAAGACTGTCTCTATACGTTTTTCTGTTTCTCTACCTATCATTTTTTTTTTTTTCTTCTGAGACAGAGTCTTACTCTGTCCTGGGGCTAGAGTGCTGTGGCATAGGCCTACCTCACAGCAACCTCAAATTCCTGGGCTCAAGTGATCCTATTGCCTCAGCCTCCCCAGTTGTTGGGACTACAGGTATGCACCACCACACCTGGCTAATTTTCACTATTTTTAGTAGAGACGGGGTCTCACTCTTGCTTAGGCTAGTCTCGAACTCCTGAGCTCAAGCAATCCTCCCGCCTCGGCCTCCCAGAGTGCTAGGATTACAGGTGTGAGCCACCATGCACAGCCTTTTATTATTATTATTGTTTTTCGTTGCTTGCCTGAGCATTACATAATTGACATATTCTGAGATGGGGAAGACTTGGGAGTAAGCAGTGGTGTAGTATATTAGCAGATCTAGCAGATCAGTTTTGGACCGTTAAGTTTGAAATGGCTTTTGAACATCCAAGATAATGTTCAACTAGACCACTTAATATAAAAATCGCAAGTTTGGGGTTATGTCTGGGCTGGTGTATAGCATAGAGACAGCACTTAACTCATGAGCAGTCCACAGACTGGTAACAGATAAGTGAGAAGCCAGAAAGGGCCTTTAAGAAGGTGTGGCCAAAGAGGAAGGATTAAAATCATGCAAATATGGAGCCTGAGGCCAAGGAAGCTTTTATTTTATTTTTTTCACAATACATTTGGTTTGTGGAAAAAGACAAAAATTACTTCAAACCAAAACAGAATACATGAATAACCCTTTTTATTTTTTTAAATGAGTGAGCACGAAATACTAGAAGTAATTTTATTTTATGACTTACAAATTCTAAAATTTACCCTATAAGATAGTCGCTAAATCTATGAAGAATAGCAGCACCAGAATGCAGCTATATCCATAAGTTGTGACCATACCCAAAAGCCATATCCATAGGTCAAATGGCCGAACACCCAATATTTGTGGTGTGTTAAGAATAGCCAAGTGGCAAGCAAAATTGGTTCTCATCAGTGAACATAGGTAATTGTATCACAACCGAAACTCTAAAAAATCCAAGATATTTAGTAAAAAGAAACCCTAAAGAGACATTTACTATTCTAAGTAAAAGCAAAGCATTGAAACAATAAAAACATCTTCCAAGTGAAAAACTGGGGCTCAGCTCATTTCATGTTACTTCATGCCAATAAGAAAAAAATATTAGAAAAGCTATATATTAAGTAACAATTGATATTACCAACATGAATGAAGTAGCTCTGAACTATTTCCAACTTTGCCTCTAAAATTCCTCT